CATTCCGAGTCAGGTGCTTACTGAAGAACTCTGACTAGGAAGGGAAGAGAGCCGGAGTCTCGGTGGGGGCTTTAGAAGGAAGAAAGGTGCTTTGTTGTTGTTTTGTTGTGGTTTCTCCAATTTGGGAAGAAAATCTCATATACATTGCCGGGTCTCTGCCTCATGGTATATTAAAGCATTGTTCTATTTAGTTTGTTATAGCAAATATATTTAGGATGAAAGGATCCTCCCCTTCCTATGCTCCAGGTATATCGCTGCTCATAGGAAGAACCTGAACCTTGTCCCAATTTGATTTCCATTGGGAACCTGATTAAGAAATAGAGTTGCCGTTAGAAAGGGGGGACACCCTCACTAAGAGGGAATGTCTCAGATGCATTGAAGACAACTCAATAACAGGTCCAAGGAGAGACAAGATGCGGCAGCTTTGAGTGTAGCATGAGGTGATGCTTGAACCGACCCTGACCCAGCTCCCTGGGTGGTTGAGTGCCCTGGGACCAAGAGGACTGGGTGGTTAAAGCAAGAGACCCTTATCAGGAGCTCAAGCACTCTACCTTCTCTTCATAAGAACATGTTTTCCCTTAGAAGCCAGAGACTCAGAGTCAGGAGATGAGAGAAAGCATTTTCAAGGGAGAGCACAGATGCCCTGAAGTCATTTGATGGAGGTTAGAGGTGGTGGCCAGGGGAGCTACTGGAGTACAGAATTAGCCACAAGATGCTTCATAGGAGGTGGCATCAGCATGGACAACCTGAATATGGGGACATGACTGAGAAAAGGCACAGATAGCATGAGGAATGGTAGATGAAACCCTCTCCTTTCATGCCTTCAAAACACAGAGAGCGAGAGGCCTGAAATCATGCACTTTGCCAGGGGAGGAAGGAGGACTGGACTTAAGAACAAACCTACTTAGAATCTACAGGCTGAAGGAGCATAAGAGACCATTTGGTAACATGAATGTATGTAATCAAAGAGGAAAGAGATAGTAGAAACAGAAAAAAGTAGAAACAGAAAATAAAAAAGAATACTTGGGGAAAGTATAAGATCTCAGGGAGGAGAAGAAGGAAGTGGACAGCAGAGTTAAAGGCATTGGTCTTGGGAAGAGGAAAGCAAACCTGGTCACACACAGCTGGGAGGTTATGGGGCTCACTGTACTAAAAAGAAAATATGTTAAGACAGTCTCTTACCTGGCAGACTGAACTCTCTAGGTAAGGCAAGTGATGCCACAAGTGTCATATTGGAGGCCAGGGGCAGTGCAGTGTGGAGAGATCAGTGTGATTCAAGACAGTCCCTCAAGGGACATTGAAGGATGGATGTACTGCAGCAGTGGTCCGGGAGAAGTTTGATATGCAGGGTATCTCATTAGCAACAGATGGAAGACATGTCCTGGAACAATGTTTCCCTTCTGAACTGTCAAGAGGATTTTTAAAACAATTAAAAGCTGTATTGAACACCTATGATGTGCAAGGCAGAGTGCTGAGGTACTCCACACAGTGTATAAAATGAGGTCCAAGCTCTTGAGGTTTCAGATTTTAGAAGGGGAGGCAGGGTAGAGACTGCTGGGTACCTCACCAACATCCATTTTCTCCTTCTTATTTACAGGACCTGACTTTATTCCAGGCGGCAATATACTCTGATAAGAAGGATATATTTCCCAGCTGCTCCTAAATCTGGAGGTGGTCAGTGAGTTGTAAGTAGAAGTCATTGAGTGGGACTTTCATAAATATTTTCTAAAGGGGTCTGATCAGGTGGGTGGGACATCCTTTTGCCATCCCCTTTCCTTCTTCTTAATTGGAATGAGGGTACAATGGCTGGAACTCCAGCAGCCATATTGGGCCATAAGGTGAATTTGAGACTGGAAGCCCCATACTAAGGTTAGTGGAGTAGAAAGGTAGAAGGAACCTAGGCCTCTGGTGCCCCCGTGCAACCATACAAGTCCTTCATTGCCTACCACTTCTTTTATATGAGAGACAAATGCATCTTTATTTTGTTGAGACCACTTACATAGAATAAATAAATATATACTAATCCTGATAAAGTAGAAAAGACAAGCTTTCAAGAAGTTAAATATAAGATTCACATAAATCAGCTCAAAAGAAGAGATGCCTAATTAGTTTGAAAGACAGTAATTATTAAAAGAGTTCAGAAAAGAGAAAGACCTCTCATCCTCTCGTGCTGGGAGGTGAGGGAAGCATGAGGTCAGGAAGAGAGCAAGGAACGAAGGTATCCTGACTTCAGGCCTTCTGGGTGCTGTATGCTATCTCACTGAGACAGTAATAAGAGGTTATCGGTGAGGCAGGATCTTGACCCAGATCTGTCTGACTTCAACATTTCCTGATCCTAAACTATCCTCTCTATACTAAACTATTCCCCCTTCCATTGGAGTGATACCTTAAAAGGTAGGAGTCTGCAGTGCATGGCATCTGTGATGTTGGTATATGAATGAATAATTCATAAGATTTTTCAGGATTGCAGTCAATGGGGAACAGGGAGGACCCTGCTGGGGAAGAGAACTGACACTATGCCCTCGATGAGTGTAAAGGGGACCAGCTGGGTGATTCCCATGCCGGGGTCATCCGTGGGATCCAAAGGATGATTCAGCCACAAAGATCAGTGCCACACACCCTACTCACACACAACACTGCAGTATCTTGGGTTCCCTCAGTCAACTGAAGGAGAAAGCACACATCAGATTTGTGCATCCAGATTATGGAAGAAATTTCATTATCTCTGGGGTCTGTGCCCTAAAATCCCTCTCTTGCTCGAATTCCTTATGAACAAAGCTCTGAGATGAGACGCCGCTTCTGAGCTTCTGAACGTTCGCTTCTTCCCCCAGACATTCAGCCAGCTGCTTTTCTTCGTAGCTCTCCCATATTGCCAGAAAGGAGACGGGAGAGTGCATCTCCTGTTGCAATCCCTAGTTCCAACCTGAGCTGTGACCCTAGAAAGATTTTGTGGTTTTCAAAGCCTGTCTGGGCCAACAAGACACTGAACAGGCGCTATGCGGGTCACCTTGGACCAAGGGTTGAGGGACGCCGCACCCATTCTTCTAATGACTAAACAGAACTGCCTTAAATTGCTATTTTGTTTTGTTTTTGTTTTTTAAGCAAAACATTCCTCTAGTTCCAGATGCTTCCTCACTTTCGTGCTCTTTACTGAGGGTGAGCAGTGATTAGACTTTAGCGTCTGAGGGGCCTTAGAAAGGCCGGGCAATCCTGGACACAGTCCCAGGGAGGGAAGGTGTACTGCGTGAAAGCGAGGAAGCAGCCGCGAGCCACTCCCGTGTCCGCGACAGACGGGGGTCAGGCGGCTCCCTGCCTTAGGCAAACTTCTCTCCATCCCTGGAGGGCACACTTCCAACTCTTTCCCCGACTCCTTTGCCCTTGCCCGCATAGAGTTTGAAGAGGCAGGCGCTAACACAGGCTTTCTAAGCGTGTCCAAGGCCCGCCGAGTTCCGCACCGGCACCCGCTGGCCCCCTTGCCCCTCGGAGCGCGGCGGACGTGCGCCCCGCAGGCCCGGGCGCTAAACGAGGTGGGGAGCTGAGGGACCGGGGACCCCGCGCGTCTCGGCCTCGGCCAAGAAGCCCCGCCAGCCGCGGAGGAGCAGGACGGGGCAGCTCGTAGCCGGACTTGAGCAAACTGGCGCTGCTGCCGCCACGCGTCCCTCATCGTGGCAGACGACGCGGGTGAAGGGGAGACCCCTTTTTCCGTCCCTCGGGGCCTGGCCACCAAGAGGTCGCCTCCTCCCCGGTTCGGGGCAGCGTATGCGGGGCCCGCCCGCTCCCCGGGCGGCGCAGCCGTTTCTCAGG